TTCATGTCCTGGTGGACGGGGCTGTGGCCCCCCCACACCCTCTAGCACATCATTACATGAAGGAACCTTTTAAAAACAAGCGCGTCCATGCTCACAGGTGTACACATGGCTGCTCACACCCACAAACTACACCCTTTTTGGCTCCTACCTCAAAGCACACTGTGCGCTGTCGATCTTACGTGCTGCACAATAATGTTTAAAATTTAGTATTTACTCTTATAGTCCCATAGATCATCGTGATGTTGTTTATTATGTTGCTCTCGTTTTCTTCTGCTTGTTTTCTTTTTTCATTCTCAACAGGTGAAATTAAAAAAGGAAAACAAAACAAAACACAATAAGATGTAATATTTAGTATCTACTGTTAGCTAGTTTATTGTGATGGTGTTGTTTTTATTATGTTGCTCTTTGTTGTTTATTTTGTCTTCTGGTTTTTTATCTCCATACAGTTGATCCAGGTGTTTTGTTTGTTTTTCTTTTTTTTTCTTCTCCCCTCTATTTTTCTTTCTCTCCCTCTCTTTCTTTCATTCTTTCTCCCTGTCCTCTCCCCCAGTCATGTCTGTCCCGTCTTTAAAAAATGAAAATACAATAAATACATAATTATAATAAAGGTCAATCAAATGGACCAATATGGCAAGGCCATGATGATCCACTTGGTAAAGTAAATCCACTTGTCATCTTTCTTGGCTTTCAGACAACAATTCTGATGGCTAAAGATCCAAACGGGACAGGCAAAAAAAAAAAGGAATACATTCACTGACTGTTCACTGACTGATTTATCAAAGGAGTGGCATAAATGTGTTTCTCTTGAAAATATCTAACCTACATTCTGCAGATGTTATTTACACTAATCATCATACAAGCAAAAGACTGACATACCATTAACGTACCCATAAAACTTTATTTCCTTTCATTTACTGTTGTAATTGGATGTTGACCTTAATCAGTTGTTACTTCGTCGCCTACTGGTTGTAAAAAAAAAGAAAAAAAAAAAACGCTATACAGCTGTGCAGCTCACCTGCTACTCTTTATTTTTTTTTTGCCAAGAAAGATCCCAAGTGCCTTTACTTTACCAATTGGATCATCATCATCGTGCTTAACGGGTCCAGGAGCTCTCAATGCAGGGCATGGGACAGGAATCAAATTGTGACACCTCATTCTTGCTGTAGTCTACAAAGAATTGTATAGACCCATCTTTCTTCACTATGAGAAGTATGGGGCTACACCACACACTAGCTATGTCCCAATTCCTAGGCCACATCCTTCAAAGGCCGCATTTGGAGGCCAATAATGTCACAGCCAGGCCATGAAGGCTGTCCCAATTCAAAGGCTGCTCCAAATGGGGCCGACAAATACGTCCTTCATTTCCCTCGATTTATTTAAAATATTATTGTTAGTCTTTTTTCAGGGTTTTATTTGTTCCTGAGTAAATTGGTTTGGCTGAGATTAAAGTTTACACAGCTGAATAAATGTCAAGCTGATTGAACAGAAGTGTGAGATGGTGGAGAATTTACTCCAATGTCCTCTTATATTTTAGTGAGCAAGGAGTAGACGGCTGAGTTTATTAAACTCTACTGAGACAGCTGGGGATGCAAATCTGAAGGCTAGATCGTCCCATTTCACAACCTCGCACTTCCGGCCTTCGGAGGACCCGGCCCCCATAGACCGCGAAAGCCTGGTCCTTCAAAGGATGCGGCCTAGGAATTGGGACATAGCTAATGTGTGACTCTTCTATTACTCCCAGCTTTACAACTTCAGCCAATTTTCTTTGAACCATTTGCCTTTTATGTTTAGGGAACCTGTAGGGCCGTAAACACAAGTTCAAGCATGGGCATGTCTCACAATCTCAATGAGATTGAAGCTGAGCCACAAACCACACCCTGGCAAAGTTTTTTTGCTTGTTTTTAAAATCAGACAAATATACTGCCATTAAAAAATTTTTGCCTGGCTGTTTTCAGCAGGCTGGATTGAAAAGCTCCAGAGTTTATCGAGCGACCTGACATTTCAAGAGGGCTCACTCGACCAGATGTGCATGTGTTATTGATTAATTCATTTGCCTTGCTTAAATGACCTCTGTTTAGAATTTATCATTACTCCCATACTCCCCAAAATGATGATGGTCTTATGTATAGTATGATATTTATGTGTTTGGGTAATAATTACTGTTCATTAACATGCAGAAATGCTTACTTTGCCCCACAAAAATGTCTTTAATTCGTGGCACTTTACAAGCTATAGATATGTTCCATTAATGAACATATTATTTTCCTTTAAAGCTTTTGTTTCTATTTATTTAGCTTTAAACACCTTAAAAATATATCTAACTTTTCCAGGAGGAAAATAAATTCTGGGAGTAACTTCAAAAGAAGTATCTTGAACCTCTGCCTGATGACAAAGAAAAACAGAAAAAGATGGCCAATGAGCTGCGAGAGCTGAGAAACAAAGTAAGTGTTGGAAGATGTGTTATCAAGAATGGGCACCATTTATGTCCTATGATTCCAGGTTGAAAGCGCTGTTACTTGGAGATGATATCCAAATTGATCCAATTGCCTTCATGTTTATTTTGGGATTTGCAGTTTCAGTTGTGATCCAGTTCCTTGCGATGCTATACCACAGGTGACCTCTTACATCAAATCGCAGTGTTTTGATACTCACCAAGAGAATCTAACATTCTTATTTTGTGTTCATTGTGTTCAGGATTCACACTCTCATACATTATGTAGCCATTGTGGACACAGAATCCAAAGCGATAAAGAAACTTGAAAAACAGAAGTCTTACCTGCAAGGCAAAAGGGTATTTGCAACTATATTACATAGACAGATTATTTGTATTCTTTTAACTGTACAGAAATAATTTTTTGTGCTAATGTTTGTTCAATTGCCTTCCAGCATAGCTCCAGCTCTAATGCAGACTCAAGCTACAGCTCCATGGAGGACTTTGAGATTGAGGACAGCGATGTTGAGTCAGAGGTCACCAGAAAGCAGATGTAGTATAAAAATCCGGTGTGCCTTATGGTTAGCATCTCACCCTGCCTTTCGGGTGCTACCGCAGGTGCCTTTGACGTTGCAAAACGTTTAGCTGACATTGTTGTGTTTGTTGGGGAGAAAACAAACATACAGTACAGCACTTCAGATTGACACTGCTAGCGATCAAAGATTTATGGAAGTTTGACATGCTGAATGCATTCTGTACTGTACATGAGATTGATTGACAGTGGTCTACAATCAATCAATCAATCAATCAATCAATCTTTATTTATAAAGCACTTTTCATACAGAGAAAATGTAGCACAAAGTGCTTTACATAGTTAAAAGCAGCCCACCCCACCCTCCAACTCACTCCCCACACTCTCAATACACATATATCCCCCCACCCACACACACATACACACACGCGCACACTTAAAGAGTAAAAATTGGGCTGGGCTTGCATGAGCCAAGTGAGGAAACACTATAACAGGGAGCCGTCTGCACCGGGAGCCGGTCACAGACCGCAGCCTCCAGGCTGGGCACACAGCAGGAGGGAGGCAAAGGAGCCCCCCAGCCAGGCTGAGAGGACCCCAGAGACCCAGCAGCCACGGTCAATAACAGCCCCGGTGCAGAGAGCGCCCTCCGAGGAAACACTGGAGATATGACACAATACAATATATATAGGGTAAAATGATAAAATAAATAAGAACAGGATACAATATAAATATAAATAGAATAAGAAGATTAAAAAATGAATAAGAATAAAATCAAACAAATATTAGGTAAATCCTAAATTAATAATAGAATAACAGGATAGAATAAATAAGCATAAAATAAATAAACGCTAAGTAAAAGCTAAATTAAAAAGGTGGGTCTTGAGCCTGTTCTTAAAAACATGTACGTTCTCTGCGGCCCTGAGCTCCTCCGGCAGGCTGTTCCACAGACGAGGACCATACCACTGAAACGCTGCCTCTCCGTGAGTATGTGTCCTGACTTTAGGGACAATCAAAAGGCCAGTACCAGAGGACCTCAGGGTCCGCGAGGGTTCGTATGGTAAAAGCAGATCTGAGAGATAGGAAGGCCCAAGACCATTAAGACATTTAAAAACCAATAAAAGAACTTTAAAATCGATCCTGAAACACACGGGGAGCCAGTGCAGCGATTCTAAAACCGGTGTAATGTGGGCCCGCCCTCTGGTCTTCGTCAGCACACGAGCTGCCGAGTTTTGCAAGAGTTGTAAAGTTGAAATATTCTTCTTAGGAAGACCAGAGAGCAGGGCATTACAGTAATCAATGCGACTGGTAATAAAAGCATGCATCAGCATCTCCGTGTTGGCCCGAGAGAGAATAGGGCGGACTCTGGCTATATTTTTTAGATGATAAAATCCAATTTTAGTTACATGTTTAATATGTGGGATAAAACCAAGCTCAGAGTCAGACGATCAGGACGCAGAACACAATGCGCTGTAAAAAAAAGAAAGAAAGAAAAATTGCACACAAAAAAATCCATGAAACAGCGAGGCCGTGAAAAGAGAACTGCGTTATAGCGAGGGACCACTGTATATCATGTTTAGGTGGATACTAGCGAGCTAACTCTTGACTACGACAGTGGTAATACTCCAACAATCCATCAAGCAGTGCGGCTTCGCAGTTTACCAGAGTCGTATTAAAACGTTTTTTGACAGAGTTTTGATTTTCGAGCACCGTGTACAACACAAAATCGGTTCGAGGTCAGTAAGCACAACCAGACTTCAATCATAAGGCACACTGTCAATTTGAGAAAATTAAAGGATTTTAGGTGCGCCTTATAGTCCGAAAAATATGGTACCAACTTGGATCGACTGAGCTCCGTTCGCCACAGTTTCCAGGGTTTTTCCAAGTTATTAAAATCACAATGGATTATTACAATCAGAACAGATTATTACATTTAGAAAGTCATTTCCTTTTTACTATAATGGCAAATATATGTTGCAGTGTTGATCAATGTTTAACAAAATATTTAAATATCTAGAATTTTCATAAATTGTCTTTATTTTGTGTGCATAAAAAATGTATGTATTGGGAACTATACAACAGTTGATGAAAAACTTAGAAAAAAAGATACATCATGTTAAATGTTAACATGTTATAAAACTTTACTTTGACCTTACTCGACAAAGTTTTGTGAAACCTGTGGAACACCTGGACAGAGATAGGAAGGGATGTACCTCCTTATATGTCCTCCACTGGAGATAAATCTCTGCAAAAAGATTAGCAGTATCATCTTGTCAGATGTATACATAGACTCCCTTTTGTAAGACAATGATAGTTGAGATATTTGTTTAAAAGTCCTGTGAGGTTAAATATAATACAATACATTACAATTTATATAGCACAAAAAAACAGAGGTATGCCAAAGTGCTTCACAGAACCAATTAAGATCAATAACAGATACAAATATAAATACACTGACAGGTGGGAGACATAACTAACACCAGGCATTGTAGGCACAAGCCAAAAGGCTGAAGGTTAAATCAGACTTACAAAATGCGGGCTCTAGAAAGCCGGGAAGGCTACACTAAATAAGTTTTTAATTGAAATTTAAAAGATTGAATTGAAATAGACACGCGAATAGCTTCGGGGAGATTATTCCAGAGGGTAGGGTGCAACAGAGGCGAATGTGTGGTCACCTGTGGTCTTAAACCAAGGTCAGGAGCATTTGGCCTGCTGATGTAAGCGCTCTTCCAGTGGTATAAAAGCTGAGGAGATCAGTAAGATAGCTGGGTGCGGTATTATTTATACAGTATACACTCAGGCCAGGCATAAACATATGTAAATAAATGTGCTCTATATTTTTCAAAGCTTCCTGTAACGGTCTGAAAAGTCCATCTGGTATTTTGGTTGAAAAGTTGATTACATAATATGCCATTTTTAATTGAGTGTAACATGGGGTTCTAAAATAAAAAAGGCATTTAAGCTACAGGTAAACACTTTTTTTTTCTTGTTTCTTTTTTTCATTGTAGGTAAGTAGGAGCTTTTATCTTCATAGTAATTTTTTTTTACCACTATAAAATTTTATGAGTTTTATGAAGTTGGGGAAACCTGCTGTCAGCTGAGACTGAAGAAGTTGATGTTGCTAATGATGATGTCATCATTGTCCTTGGTGGACAGAGATGCATTGGAAGACATTACGTTGCTGGAAAAAAGAGAACTGAAAAGAAAATTCAAAATATTAATAACCACGTAACTCCTGATCTGACACTGAGCACAAAATCATAGGATTTCCTCATATGTCATTCTATAGTATCATACTTCCTGACTAACAAACAAACAAACAGATAATTGACTGAAGCCTAACAGAAGAGGTAAATCTGGGAGTGCAAGTCATCTTAATAGATTATTATCTTAGAAATAATTTCAGGCAAGGCCAAATCAGTTTATATAAGCAAAAGTTTTCATGAACTTATTTTGCCAAAACCTATAAGCTAATGCTGGGGTTAGTTAAGTTTAAACAGTGGCAAAGGTCAATGTAATATAACTATGCAAAAAACAAACAAACAAACAAAAAAACCCCCCACACAATTCAACAACATTAGGCAAATACCATGAGCAAAGTCTAAAACTCCAGAAATGGTACCAGGTGGTGTTTATGGCGAGATTTATTCCTCAGACCTAAACCTTTGAAGATATTTGACTTCTGCTTTGACAACAACTTACCAAGGGTTAACAACGTAATTATTCCAGTTTATCTATAATTAGGTAACTATAGATAAACAAAAGAAAAAAGCAAAAGCAAGAAACATAATATACAATATGTAAAATATGACATAGTGATTGAGGGTGAATTTTCTGGTGTCAATATGAATTTTCCAGGTATTATAAATAAATAAACAACAAACAAATTATCACTGTTCTTAAGACTTGACTTTAAATATAGTGATGGTGAAACAGATTTAGCGAAAGGTAGGAGTTCACACATCTGTTTTGTTGAGCCTTTGTTGATAAATCTTTTAATTTGACCGATTATCATTACTGTAGTCTTCCCACCTTTTATGTTTCACTCTGAAATACTGGTTTTGATCATATAATGGAAGCAAAAAATGATTTCGGCATTTCAATATTATATTAATGGTTATGTATAAGGACATGTATTTTTCTGGGGAAAGGTAAAATTTACTTACATCCACTCCTCTCCGCCTACTCTGTTTTAACCCAGAGCTTTAATCCAAAGAGGGATCAGTTGGCTGAGCCATCTGGCCATCCATATCATCTCTCAGAGCCCTTTTATAAACTCTCATGAGTTTCTGTCTAAACCCCTCCTTGACTTTTAGCCCCATACAGAAATATAACAATGGGTTCACACAGCTGTTAAAATAAGCAATGCTCTTTGTTATAGAGTACCACTTTTTCACCACTTTGTTTTCATTATACACAATGTCTACTAATAGAAGGCACTGGTAAGGTGCCCAGCACAGGAAGAAGGCAATGACCAAACATACTAATATACGAAGGGGCCGAGATTTCCCTGACAGACGAGTGCGTCGGAGGCCCAGGCCAACCAGGATGTAACAGATGAGAATGACCATAAAGGGAAATATGAAGCTGAATATGAATTGCATGGAGTAGAGAGCAACTTTGGTGTTTTTGTTTTCCTTTGGCTTCTCCACCCACACCATTTTACACTTAGTTTGGTTGTTGTTGTCCATGTAGATTTTGCGGAAGGTGAAGTAGGGAATGCTGAAGAGGAGCGCTATAATCCAGACACAGACTGCCACCACCCTCGCTGCGAAGAGGGTGCGTCGACGCTTCATGAGGATGGGCTGACGGACACAAAGCACTCGATCCAGACTGATCACAGCCAGCAGGAAGACAGAGCCGAACATGTTGGTGTGTTTGAACAAACCATGAAACTGGCAGAGAAAGAGACCAAAAGGCCACCGTTCTAACTTCATCTGGATGAGGGAGAAGATTCGTGTGAAACAGAAAATCAGATCTGCTATCGCCAGATTCACCAGCCACACATTGTTGACTGCTTGCTGAAGAGACAGAAGAGACAAAGTAAAATAATATATTATTTACATGACGCAAGTAACCAGACTTTGATATTATTATCCCCCCAGTCATTATCAATTTATCAATAAACAGAGCAGCATGCATTATGCACACATCTAGTGATCATGTGAATAAGTGGATGTAAAATCTGGTGTCAACTAATATTGTTAAATAGCAATTATGTCACTTTGTAAAACTGTGTGTTTTAGCCCAAACTCAGTTCCCAGAGCACATAAACTTAGGTTGCTCTTGCGGATATAAAAGGAACTTCATAGCACAATAAAAACGTACTCTAACTCATGTGTTAGTTTTAGACGTCCATGCAGGGTAATGACATGCAAAACATGTATAAAATCACTTAAATAGAATCTACCTGACAAAGTTAAGTAGCCTAGAAGATGTCAGTCAGCATCACATGCCATTATCAAAAGCAGGGGTGTCCAACTCCAGGCCTCAGGGGCAGGTGTGCTGCAGGTTTTAGATGTGTCCTTGATCCAACACAGCTGATTTAATTGGCTAAATTACCTCCTCAACATGTCTTGAAGTTGTCCAGAGGCCTGGTAAGGAACTAATCATTTGATTCATGTGTGTGGACCCAGGATAATATCTAACAGATGCAGGACACTGGCACTTGAGGCCTGGAGTTGGACACCCCTGATCTAAAGGAACTCAAGAACAGATGGGAAGCAAAGTCACTGAATTCTATCAGCCTGGAATTTGCCTGCTAAGCCAAATAAATGCTTGTGCCAGGATCCTGGCAATTTCAAGCACACTTTTTGTCATTATGGGGTTTTTCGTTTAGAATTTTGACATGAAAAATTACTTTAATCTACTGTGTAATTAGGCTGAAACACGGGGAATTAGGGAACAAGTGAAGGGCTGTAAAAACTTTCCAGATGTATTGTATACTGTACATAAAGAAATGAAGTTTGACTCAAGACTTTTGCACAATACTATTCATAAGTCTTAGTTACTAGCAACCACTTATGTTAATGATGTTGTTTTTTCAAGAACATATGGCCTTATTCTGGGTTTTAACTTAGATGTACTGTACTGTACTTAGTCATGATATTCACAGTGAAGACTTACAGGATTCTTATTACTTGCTTTTTCTTTTTTTAACAGAGTTTTAAAACTTTTTGTACAGCATTTTTTAAGCATAAAAAAAGTTTTCAACTCTATTGAGTGTTTGATAAACTTGTCACTGAGTGTGTTTCCACGAGTATAGTGTTTGACATATTCTTGTTTCTGCATTTACATGTAAGTAGTGTTGTCAGCGTTAATCTCGTTAATACAACGTTAACATCATAACCGCTTTAACGCGGCAAATCCCCGTTAGCGAGTTAACGTGGATCGGCCGGGCGCCAACGCATTAGCGCGTTAATGCGTTAGCGCCCGGGCCGATCCACGTTAACTCGCTAACGGGGATTTGCCGCGTTTTGGCGTTTTCACTGAGACACAGAAGATATTACTGACAAACAAAATTAGATATTTAAAACACTCTATATTCACCTTAAGTTTGATTCCAGCCATCCAGATCACCACAGCGTTTCCTGTGATGCCGAGCACAACAGTCACTGTGTAGAGGACAAAGTTGATGTTTCTAATGATGATGTCATCATTGTCCTTAGTGGACAGAGATGCATTGGAAGACATTACGTTGCTGGAAAAAAGAGAATTGAAAAGAAAATTCAAAATATTAATAACCACGTAACTCCTGATCTGACACTGAGCACAAAATCATAGGATTTCCTCATATGTCATTCTATAGTATCATACTTCCTGACTAACAAACAAACAAACAGATAATTGACTGAAGCCTAACAGAAGAGGTAAATCTGGGAGTGCAAGTCATCTTAATAGATTATTATCTTAGAAATAATTTCAGGCAAGGCCAAATCAGTTTATATAAGCAAAAGTTTTCATGAACTTATTTTGCCAAAATCTGTAAGCTAATGCTCCTAATCTCAAGGGATACATTAGCCTGGTGATACTGTTATAATAAGATACTTTTTATTCCTGAACTCTGGAAGAGTAGCTGTGCATGATAACGCAGACCTGTATCTACAGATCTGAGCCGTGTGGGATACCGGAGCACAACACAAAAAAGAAAAAGAAAAAAAGGAAAGTAAAAATGCCCACACTCCCTGCTGCCAAGGAAAAACGAACGCTGCCACAGGATTACGGTTTACAACAAGCAGGTTTTTATTAAACTCAAAAGGTAGCAAGTGTCAGGGTGGGCATAGCAAAAACAACAAACAAAACACTCTAGAAATGAAACAGAACTGCCTTACCTATAATGAGAATCCCCAAATGTACTAAAAGAAAACGACTTCCTACCCCTACAGCTACCAGATCAACAACAACAAAAAGGTCTATTTAAGCTATTTACAATATATACAACGCAGCCAAGCTCTTCTCAGCCTAGAAACACGTTCACACAGCACACCGGAAGGCCCAGGGCTAAATGCACAGCTCATTGGAAGCAGGAACTAGGACAGGTCTGGACAGGTCCTCATTCATAGCCAGCCTGACTCAGTCTTCCACCAGCCTCCACCTGGAACTTACATGTTTATCTATTTTTATTTTTACATTTAACTACTGTTGTGCATGGTTGAATTATATTTTAAGGCATCTGAGGAATAGCTAAGTTTAAACAGTGGCAAAGGTCAATGGAATATAACTATGCAAAAAACAAAAAAACCCCACACAATTCAGCAACATTAGGCAAATACCATCAGCAAAGTCTAAAACTCCAGAAATGGTACCAGGTGGTGTTTATGGCGAGATTTATTCCTCAGACCTAAACCTTTGAAGATATTTGACTTCTGCTTTGACAACAACTTACCAAGGGTTAACAACGTAAGTATTCCAGTTTATATATCTATAATTAGGTAAACAGTAGTCTAGTCACTGCTATGGAGATTATATTTGGTTAAAAAAGTGTTAAAAAGGTTACGTCATTGGCCTGATCCATTAAATCTAAAAATCAATTCAGAACTTTAGAAATCCACATGAAGATGCTCCTCCGATTGGTAGCACCGCCCATTATTGTTGTTATTGTTTAACATAAACTATAGGATGTAACCATTAAAACCCGTTACAAGAGATTAAAATTATACTTCTCATGTTAAGCAAATAATGTTCCAACCATGCCCTATCATTAGTCGTGCAAAAAGAATCTATAGTGCAAATGAAAAGAAGACAACAACAACTCCTCAAAGGAAAAAGCTGTTCTGCACAAAGGTGGTTTCTTCAGTTTAGAGAAGCAAAGCTGCTGCAGTGAAAGGGGAAATAAACATGGCATGACAGTGACCATAGAATGTTCTTCAACCACATATAGAAACAAAGGAAGAAAAAAAAGTTTGCATCCATGTCTGTCCACAGACAAAAGCAAATATAATTTAAACTGAAGACTTTGAAGGAATTTAGTATCTGTGTCACAAAAGGTCACAACTGCTCTTTCTGTTCTTAAGAAATTTGGGTTTTTGCAGAACATTTTGACGTCACAGTAAAGTTGACATCTGTCTTGAAGTTTATAAAATGTTACCATTCCAATTTCATAAATTGGCTGTGTGCAGGTGGAACACTGGATTTCGACCTAAAATGCAGCTATATTCGCTGAATGGGAAAAAAGGTGGTACAAAACTAAACTGGAAAATTAATAACTAATAATGCGAAAAGACACATCAGGAAACACAGCCAAGAGGGAGGACGCGACACAGAACTGAGGGAGACCCGGACATAAATACACTCAAGGAAACGAGGGATGTGGGAGCACACGGGGAACCCAGCTGACACAGATAATGGTAACAAGACAGAGCAGGAGCAAACACAACGTGACGTACACTGACGGGAGACTATCAAAGTAAAACAGGGAGACAGAGACGCAGACACGAGGGGGAGAGAGAACACGGGGAGAGCACAGACCTGACGGGCTGGGGAAACACAAGGAGGGGAAACAAGGCATAAGAACTCACAATAAAATAAACAGACACACAGAGGGAGACAGAGGGCAAAGATGAAAGGGGGAATCTAATAAACTAAACTAAATAGAACAACCTAGGAACCATACAGAATAAAAAAAAAACTGAGAACGCTGGGTCAAGATGATCTAGGACCATAACGATTCCATCATTTTCTCATTTTAATTTCTGTGAAAGAGTATGATAATTCTCATTTCACCTTTGAGGTGACTTAGTTCACTTATTGCCTTCCTGACATCAAACCAATTTGAACCTAAATTGAAGGCACACTAACACAAAAGCACAATCCCTTTGGTGTATCAGTCATCAGTTGTTATTGAACATGACAACTTAATAGAGGCAAAAATCTATAATTTATATATAGCACTACACTCAGGTACTCAGGGGTAAAATGCCTGAAAATCATCTGGTGAAGCATTTTGGGTGCAGTTCTAGCAACATCTAGCTGCACTACAGAAGAGAAGGGAGCCTAATAGGCAGACATTTTCTAATGCAACATTTCCATTAGCAAAACAAAAATCAACAAAGAGACAAAATGTGTCACAAAGCATGCAATTAAAACCTAATTACAGATACACAGGAGGCAGATGGAGAGAACAAAAGGTGAGCCATTTATTCACACTGATGTACAAAACGTCAAAATCAGGCAAAGGCACACAGACATACACAACCTGAAACACATAAGGGAAGTTACTGCTTTCTTCAGCATTACATTTATTTGTACTAAATTGCATGCCACAAGTATTAGTAAATCACCCATGCATAATACATTCAGCTTTGATCCTTGTCAAAGGGAAACTCTTGCAAACACATATGCCATGATGCAAGAATTAAAGGTACTTCAGGTATCTGTATGCCATAAAAAGAAAAAAACCCCATCAAACTCTTTTCTTCCTGGGCACTAGGGGAACAATCAGGAAATTTCAGTATGTGTTCGAAAAAAGGAAAATGTTGCAGTGGTATAGTGATACAGCTTTTCAGGAGTGGAGATATGAGTATTACTTTCATTTTTAATGCACTAAAGGATAAAAATGCAATGGTAAAGTGCAAACAGCATCCAGTACAGAAACAACCACATTATACTGCTAACACAACCTCAGCTCTTTGCAAGGATCTTTACATACAGCATACTAACGCAAAGCTAGCCAAGAACCAAGAGTGATGATAACACAGTGATGAGCAGTCAGGCTGCAGCCTCCGTGTAGGTTCTTGTTTTTAAAGTGTGAAAATTGTGAAAATCACTTTTAAGTGTCTTTAGGCCAGCTGTCATCTTTACTTTGTGTTGTCTGCTTTGTGCTCATATGTAAACACTAAAAGAAAGATCCTATTTGTGTCCTCATTAGTATAAGTATTTGTGTTGGTGTGCGTGACTGTAGCTTCATGTTCATATTGTTAACTTATGAGACAGTGTTTTTCATGTCATTTTATTGAGTAATGAGAACGTAATGTAATTAATTATTTTCTCTGGTGAGTAATTAAGTAACATACTGGAACATACAAACTTACTTTTAAGAAGATTAATGCAGTACATTACATTACATTGCCATTTATTACTGAAAACATAATCAAGGTCATTAAAAAGGAGGTAGGAAAAGGAGATAGGAGGGACTTTAGGAAAGCACCCTTCATTGTGAAACTAGCTGGAGCTCATTTGCATTTAAAGGTGCAGACAATAAAAGAATGAATTTGAAACAGAGAAAAAACTATACAGACACGTTGGAATTAAACTGTGTGATCCTCTGAGAAAAGACACATTCTGAACCTCCATTAATATGGTAAAAGTAGTTTAAAATGGCCTTATTTAAGTTGGTGTTTAAGTGTTGGACACAGTCACCACAAAGAAATGACTCCGCATTAACTGCGCTCTTCTTTCATTATACAGTCAAATTATATAAAGAAAGAAATTGAACATTTTTGATACTTACTATTTGTATCTCTGCTTAATATTTTCTATACTGGGCATAGTTCACGTACATTAGACTGAAATACTGTTTTGTACCACAATTGTGCAAGTGATGCCACACAGTCATCCCCTTTCCCTCAAATACGTGCATGTTGTACAAGATAACGATAATATCCAAAAAGCAAATTTATAAAAACCATAGTAATACGCGTCTCTTGTTAAAGTCACAGTATTTACGATGAAATGTATTAATGAAATTTTCAAAAACATCAAAATTCTTTTGTAGCATCTAATGCATGATCAGATCTTTTTTTGTTAGGTTTTTTTTTTAGCCTAACTTAGTTGTGCATTTTATCAACACAATCTCTGTAATATGACTTCAGTGAACACTACCAAACTCTATAACCAGCTTATACACTTACATCAATAAGAAAAACTTATGAGGAAAAATCAGTGAGAATCATGCTACCAATATTACATTGAGTATTATGTAAAATTATTGTTAAACAGATCAGCAATCCTGAAAGACACAAACTGTGTAAAATGTACACAACTGTAACTCTTTTAGTCATAAGTGGGAGATATTAAGTAACAATCTTATTTGAGGAACCAAAACTACAAAAAAGTTCAGATTTCTTACTTGCAGAGTTTGAACGCAGCTGATGAGGACTGCTTTAGTCTTAGTAGTCAGAGGCAGAAGTGAAAATGTATCTACTGATGTTTATCTTCGTTACTGTTACATTTGATTATTTAGTTTGTGTCATGTCTGTCTATCTCTCAATCACACACACACACACACACACACACACACACACACACACACACACACACACACACACACACACACACACACACACGCACACACACACTCACAGACTTCCTGTCTTTCTTCATGCCATGTGTCTGGCTTTGTCTTTTCTGCATATAGTTGTTGCTCTTTTTCTCACACAGTCACACTAATGTTGCCTCGCTGTTTGTCAAACACCCACATACAGATAAATATAGACAGAAGATGAAAATGTTAATCATACTTCAGACTGGTTGCTTTTCTCCTCAGGCTTGTCTGCCAATCAGATTCATCATGAAGGAGCATTATGTCCCAAGCAGAAGCCTCATGTGAAGTGGTACATGTTCGAGCAGTCTCACCACTTTTCGGCTTTTGCTGATTTCCACCAAAAAAAACTGAGTAGCTCAAATTTTGAGTAGAACTGATGTAGAGTGCACTGCAATGTCTTTTTCTGCCATAAACGGGTCATTTGTGGCTCATAATGGGCATCTACTGCCCTTGGGTTGTCCTCGGCTCAAAGATGGTCCCTATGTGAATGGCAAACAAGTATATGGGAATCCCGAGTATTCAACACAAATGTAACAATACTTCAGTGGTGGTTAAAAGTATGTTGCTGAGAAGAAGGGTTTTAGTAAATGACCACAAGAGGGCGAAAACAATCTCTAACTAAATGAAAACATTTAATAAAATCAGCAAGCTTTTCTCAGACCTTGATAGGCAACTGTTCAGCGTTACCCAGAGTAATGCTGGCATATTTTTAACCTGTTCC